GCCAAACACAAGCTTTGACATCTGAACTGCAGGACCAAACCATGAATGAGAAAGTATGTAGGCTTGGTGAGGTGGGGGTAGGGAGTGCCACATCGCATCTTGGGAAGCGTAGTTATCATCACAAGTAAACCAGAAATGGAGGCTGGAGGAGTCCAGGTATCAGTGCCTGCTTGAGACTGCAGTGTTTCATTTACTCAGTCAATTCAGCGTGTCAGGGAAACAAGCAGGGAGGGTAAAAAAGATGCTGTGTGAGTCCCATTGTTCTAAGGACTCAGAGGAAGAACAAGCCTCGGAAATGAATTTACTACAGAAGCCAAAACAAGTTTAGAAAACTGGCATTCCCATTATGATACAAGAAGATATAACTTCTATGAAAAAATGGTAAAAAGCCATGAGAGGACAACAGGCTGAAACAGGCTGAAACAGTGTAACAGATTGAGATCAAAAGACAACAAAGTAACAAAAAAGATAAGGAAGAATTGCAAGGGTTGTTACAATAACAATCTATAATGGAATTACTAAAGAATAAAATGTCTCCATGGAAACTCAGTGGTATAAAGTGGAAACTCAGTGGTATAAAGTGTAAATAAAAAATGAAAAGGCAAGCCATACAGTCGGGGAGAATATATTTGTGACACCTATCTGGCAAAAGGCTAGCATCTAGAGTATATAAAGTATTCTTACAGTCTAACAAAAAAACAACCAAAAAAACCATATTAAATAAATGGGCAAATGACTTGAAGAGACACTTTTCAAAGGCAGACATAAGAACGTACAATAAGGGCATGAAAGTTGCTCACCATCATTAGTTATCAGAGAAATGCAAATTAAAACCACAAGATAGTATTTCACCCCAGTTGGAGGGCTAAAATTAAAAGGACTGACAACATCACGTGTTTCCAAGGATGCACAGCTACTGGACTCTCATACACTGCTGGTGGAATATAAAATGATTGAATCACTTTGGAAATAGTTTGCCAGATACAAAGTTAACTTCTCTGAGCCAGCAATTCCACTCTTAGGTATTTACTCAAGTGAAATTAAAACCTTTGTCCACAAAAAGGCTTACACATGAATGTTCACAGAATATTTTTTGTAATGCCCCCTCAAAATTCAAATGTCCATCAACAGATGAGTGAATAAACAAACTAGTTTACTCACATAATGGATTACTATTCATCAACTTTTTAAAAAAGAATAAACTATTGATATCCACAACAATATGGGTAAGTCTCATGCTGAGCAAAAGAAGCCAGACACAAAAGAGTACACACGAATGATGCCATTTACATGAATGTTTAGGAGAGGTAAAACTAATCTATAGATATGGAAATCAGATCAGTGGTTGACTGGAGTGGGGTTAGGGAAGACTCACTTAAGGAGGGATGGCAAAGGCACAAGGGAATTTCTAGGGTAATAGAAATGTTCTACATCTTCATAGGGGTGCTGATTAATTACTTAGATGCATTTTTTTGTCAAACACCATGGAACAAGACGAACTGTGTGCATTTCATTATACATAAATTATACTGTAATTAAGTTGATTAAAAACCAAGGTACCCACAACCAGCTCCATTCTAGAAAGTTTTGAATTACATCAATAAATTTTTTAAATTCTATGAGCCTACAGGCAGAATAATCAGACTACTTTCAAAGAATTTTTTTAAAATGATATCAGATTTCTCCTCTGAAATACTAAGTAAGATATGGTAATGAAAACATTTATAGTCGTTTAAGAGGGGAAAGAAGTAAGAATTTAATACCTAGCCAAGGATTGTTCATAAGTAAACACAACAAAAAGCTCACCTAAAAATGGGAGGACTAAGAAAATATACCACATACCCATCCTTCTAGGAAGGAAAAAAAAAAATAGTGAAGCCATTTCCCAGCTGACTAGGAGATGACTCAGACTTAAGAGATCAAGAGTAAAGAAAGTCTAAATACTTATTGCAAATATAAAAATATAATTTGAAACTGGATGAAAATGTAAAACAACGATTATAATTCCTAGAAAATAAGATATAATACAAAAACAAAATATAGAGATAGTATGAGTCACAAATCCCAAACTGTATTTATTAAAACTGGAGAATGTGGGTGAGGGAAGTTGATAGAAGTAAATGCCCATTAAATTCTTTATTTGATATAGAATGAAGTCAAGAGCTATTGGTTAACTAAATTGTGAAACATCCATTTATGGAATACTCTATAGTCATAAAAATATTGAGGAAGCTCTTCATGGTCAGATATGAAATTATCTATAAGATAAACTTATTCTAAAGAGGGAAGCACAATACAAAAAAGTGTATAGCATGTTATGATTTGTGCAACAAAAGAGGAAAAAATATACTATACAAAGGAAACTGGTGACCTTGGTTGCCTTGGGGAAGGGTTACTGGGTAGCTGGGAATTAGGAGTAAAAAGGAGACATTGTAAATTTTTTTGTCCTTTGCTCATTTGTAAATGAACCATGTAAATGTGGCTTATTTTTAGAAATGAAATTTTAAAATGTATGATTTGTTTTGTTTTGACTTTCAGAATCAAATAAACATTCATTGAAGACTTTATTACATGTGTAAATCTAGTTTTTTCATGAAGAAGGCATCACAAATCAGAAAAGATTCAATAAATGATCTTAGATAACCGGTTTCCTATTCGAAGACAAAAATGTTTAGTCCTCATTTCACAACCCTGACCAGAATAAACTACAAACACATTAAAGAGTGAAATTACAAAAATAAATAAATAAATAAAAATTAAATAAAAATATTAGAACAAAACAGGTGAATCGTAGAGCAAAGAAAGACTTCCCAAAAGAAACCTAACATATTTTATTACATAAAATTTAAAATCTCCTATAGATTAGAAATATTATATAAAATTAAAAGGTATACTAAAAACTGAGAAAAATACTTTTCACAAATATAGAGATTAATATCTTTATTTTATTTTATATATATATATATATATATTTTTTTTTTTTTGCGGTACGCGGGCCTCTCACCGTTGTGGCCTCTCCCACCGCAGAGCACAGGCTCCGGACGCGCAGGCTCAGCGGCCATGGCTCACGGGCCCAGCCGCTTCGCGGCATGTGGGATCTTCCCAGACCGGGGCACGAACCCGGGTACCCTGCATCGGCAGGCAGACTCTCAACCGCTGCGCCACCAGGCAAGCCCTATTTTATATATTTTTTAAACAGGAGAATAGCTTACAGATTTATGTAACGTAAGTCTTATGTGACACGGGAGCCTCCACAGGAAATGAAGGCTCAAAGAAACAGACCTGCATACTTTTCTGCTGGGTTTGATGACGAGTGGACACTCAACTCAGGAACAGCCAGATGGAAGGGATGCACAGGGCAAGGTACGTGAGAAAGAGCACGGAACTTCCATGCCCTCTCCAGGTACACAATTCTCCCCACATCTCCACGTGTTCACTAACCTGGAAGTTCCAGTATCTTTATTTTTTAAAGATCCAATCAAATTAGAAGACAAAACAAACTTTTTGAAACCTCACTAACGCCTCGATATAAAAATGAACAAAGGAAATTAACAAACAGGAAATGAAAACGGTTAAGAAACATATAAGGATGTATGAAACCTCATTGATAATTGAAGTAATCCAAATTAAAGAGAGGCCTTCTCTTGCCTATCAGATGGGTGAAACTCCAAGGGAAAGGAGACCTTCATAAACTACTGATGGATGTGTAAATTGGTACAACCTTTCTGAAAAACAACTTGAGATATGTACCAACAGCCTTAAACAGGTTCAAAACTTTTGACTCAATAATTTTAATTTTATACAAACTGTCTCCCCAGGAATTTAATGCAACTTTATTTATAATAAGAAAAAACTTTGGAAACAATAAAAATGTCTAATAATATGGAAATGTTAAGTAAATTCTGATACATTCATACAATAAAATATTATGCAGACATTAAAATTATCAACTTGGGGCTCTCCCGGTGGCACAGTGGTTGAGAGTCCAAGGAGAAACCATATTTTAAATAAAGAAATATTACAATTACAGAAATTTTACCTGGCATCAACATGCCCAGGATCTCAACTGAAAGTGTTAATTATTGCAATAAGCAAGAAATTCGCAGACAAAACCTTGATGATGCATTAGCACTTGCCGTCCATCTTTCTTATACACCTTTGGTTCAAAACTTCATGGCCAGGGCTTCCCTGGTGGCGCAGTGGTTAGGAATCCGCCTGTCAGTGCAGGGGACACGGGTTTGATCCCTGGTCCGGGAAGATCCCACATGCCGCGGAGCAACTAAGCCAGGGGGCCACAACTACTGAAGCATGCACTCTAGAGCCTGCATGCCACAACTACTGAGCCCGTGCTCCACAGCTACTGAAGCCGTTGTGCCTAGAGCCCATGCTCTGCAACAAGAGAAGCCACCGCAATGAGAAGCCTGCACGCTGCAACGAAGAGTGGTCCCTGCTCACTGCAACTAAAAGAAAGCCCGCGCACAGCAACGAGGACCCAACACAGCCAAAAATAAAATTAATTAAAAAAACAAAACAAAACTTCATGGCCAAATAGTGTACAGAACAGATGCAATACTAGGATGACTCCAGTGGGCCAGCCCACAGGAGCACTATCGCTCAGAATAATGAATAACCCTGTACAGGCTCCATGACCAAACCACAGATAACTCTACTATAATGGTGTTTCCATGGCACACTTGCCTGCCCAGAAAGTCTTCAACCAAGAGCACCCACTTATGGCCCACAAACCATCAGCTGAAAGCAACTGCCTTAATAATCTAGGAATTGATAACTCTGGCATGAAGAGCCCCACAAGCCATGCCTAGGCTCCCAAGTGCCTCTCCCCATCCCAGGCTGTTTTCTCTGACAGGATGTTTTATAGTATGTTCAGTCCAGCCCAGCTAATAAAGGAGCTCTTTTAAAGTGGAGAAAAACACTGTGTTGGGTTGCTGGGTCCAGCATGTGTGCAATACATAAAGAAGCACAGAACACATGTACAGTACCTTCCCGAAGCTGTGTTGGCTTGGCAGAATTTTCCCCACTCATTAAAACAACAAAAGATGCAGCTGCTCGAACTGTAGCCTGCCATGTTGACATGGCAACGGGTGGCTCCTGGCATGGAAAAAGGGCCCTGTTGTTTATGGGCGATCCCATAGTATAAACACATGGCCTGCAGAAGAAAGACAAAGAAACAAAGGGGGAGAATCTTTAAAATGAGTTGTCACTTTTCTCACCACCATGGTAGCGAAGGTTAAGTTGAGCTTTCAAAGAGAAAATATCTCAGACTTTGTAGCTGGCTGGTTTCAGAGCATCTTGAACTGAAACGGCCAAGGGCTGTGTGAATAGCTGAGTGGTAATTTCTCCCAAATGGATTACTTAAACATGTAAAGAGAGTTTTTTGTTTGTGTGTTTGTTTTTTAAGGGGAAAAATATTTTTTTGGATAAAGTTTTAAATACTAGTCTGCCAAGTTAAAGTTTACATTAACCTTGCCCCTCCCTTTAGGCCCTTAGGCCTTCGAAAGAAAAAAGTTTTAGAGACATTCTTAAAAAATTGTGGAAAATATTCTGGAAAAGAAAATATGTTTAGCGATCACTGAGATATTAATACTTAGAACAAACAAGCCGGTGGTCTCAAATCCAGTGCTGGCGGACAGATACCCCCAATCTTGGAAACCACCACCTCAAATGGAACCCTTGTGGGAATCCTTGTGTGGAGGCCAAGAACAGGGGTTGGCACATCAACAGGACTGTAGGTCACAACAACCAGGCTTGTGACGGGAAGGCCAAGTGCAGAGCTGTTACCAAAGCAGGTGCAGGAAACCAACGGCATGACATTAGGGCTCATTCTGCTACAGTTAAAAAACACAAACCCACACATACCAAGAACAGTCCCTTCCATGATTAAGTCACAGACAGAAATGGAAAAAAAAATCTATGAGATCAAAGAAATCTATTCTTTTAACACCACGGAGGAGAAGGTACAGACTGACCCTCAGGAAGATGTCTTAGGAAAATGTTTCTACTTTTTGCTTTTCAGGAGTTATGGCAAATATGATATAGTTTTAATCAGCTTGATTTATAAATAATAGAGCAGAGCACTACCTCTCTCGCATAAACTGGTTTTCCTCTTTAGTTAACATTGTTATGACTGAACATTTATTCTGTTCTTACAATAAGCAAGAACACACAGAATGATGGCCCCACTCCACCAGTCAGGGTCCAGGAAGGAAAAAAGAAACCAGTCTAGGACTTAATAAACAGAGGCAATTTAATATAGGGAATTGGTCATACAAGTAATAGAAGTGCTGAGCAGCCAAACAGGGGAGAGTGAGGCAACTCAGAGATTAGCCACAGTGGTAAGGAGCTGTGACTCCACAGGTTGGAGGAGCTACTGTTACTGGGTGTTACAGGGTCATTTGACACAAGCCAGAGTCACAGTGGGGAATGTCCAATGGGTGCTGGGACCAGGGAGACTCAGTCATTGATGGAGATGCCAAAAGAAGCAGAAAGAGGGGAGGAAATACCTTGTTTCTCGCCAACACTCAAATGTTCCATCGATACCCCGCATTGGCCAAACCTGACAGGAAGCCAGAAGACGAGGCAGCCTGAGAAATGAGGTTCCTTGTCATTCAGAGATCATAATAAGAGCAGAAAATGGACCTTAGAGCAAACAGGCAGTCTACCTCCTAGAAGTGTATATGCTGTGATAACTCATAGAATTGACATGAGGCAGGGAAAGAAGATTAGAAATTCAGAAGACTTTAGTCCTGGCTGGGTTACCAACTCATTAAATGGCTATGGAAAAGTCCCTTGACCTCTCTGAGTCATATACAAAATGGGGATGGGGGGCAGGTATGTGACTTCTATTGTCTGTTCTGGTCCATAAACCTATGATTATGTCCCAGAAACATAGATACAAGAACAAAGGCAAATTTTCATGGAAGGCCCAGAATCCCCCATCGATTTCAGTGAGTGCTGGGCTCCCACCCTGGTCCCCTTGGATCCTTGGTTAATTGACTTAGCCTTAGTTAACTGCCCAACTTCAGGTTGTTTGAGAACCTAATGACGAAGTCACCTAAAGCCACCTCCTCCTAGGCGGGGCTGCTGGTTGTGGTTGCCTGGGGTGGGGGGCGGGATGCTTTAGCAGCTCAAGTTCTGAAAATTCCACCTGTTTTTTCCCAAAAGGCCCATCTTAGGGAAGGATCCCAAGACGAAACGTATGGTCAGCGGAAACGGAGTATATTGTCACTGGCCAAATGGCAGGTATAACTCCTCTTCCTCTGCCAATGGCAGCCATTGAGAATCAAGGCTTTCTTTCTCACTGAAGTAGAATGGACCCCACAATTTTGCTCAGCTCATGAGCTTTAGGAATCCACTTCCAATCTAAGTAGACTTGTGGAGATAAACCTATTTGTGACGCTCACAGGGAAGTGGGAGGCCCTTGCCTAGAGATCGCCTAAGACTTTCTCTGCCTCATGCACAGGGGAAGCTGACCCCATATTATGGTCCTAAGTCTAGGGTACTTAGGCCAAGTCTGAAAGTATCTGTGCTCTCTTGCTTTTGCACGCAGCACCTCATTTCCCTCGGGCGACTCTGGTGCTACAGGTCTTCCCTTCCCTGCACAGGGAGCAAATCCTCCCCCAAAAGACTGGCTTGCCCAGATGTTTGCTCTCCTTCTCCCGATAAGCTTGGGTTGGAGGTCATGCTGGTATATTATTATGCATTCCACCTGTGCCCTTAGGTATGTGGTCCCCAAGGCCTTCTCCATCAGCCTCCATACCTCTTTCCAGAAGAAACAATCAGATTTGAGATGAGGTCCTATGTGAGAAACACTGCAGAGGAAGAATCAGAAAGACATAGTGATTTGCTGCAGGAGAAGGAACAGAAGGCCTCTCTGAGGTAACCAACTTTCAAGATGGACCCCAATGACCCCTGTCCCTGGTACTCACACCCCTGTGTAGTCCCCTCCCACATTGTATCAGGTTGGCCTGTGTGACCGATGGCTATGGCAGAAGTGATGTCACTTGTGAGATCAGATTATTTAAAAATCTGTGACTTTTTTTTTAGGGGTTTTCCTCTGTGTCTCATCACTTCCTCAGGACAGGGCAGGGGGTGCCATGTCATGAGGACACTCAGGCAGTCTATGGAGGAGCCCATGTGGTAGGAACGAAGGCCTCTGGCCCACAGTCAGTGAGGATCTGAGGCCTGTCAACAACCTTGCACGTGAGTTTGGAAGAGGATCTTCCAGCTCCAGCCAAGCCTTGAGATGTCTGTGGCCCCGGCAGACAGCTGACTGCTACACTGTAAGAGACCCTGGGCCAGAACAACCCAGTTAAGCTGCTCCTGGATTTCTGACTCTCAGAAACTGTGTTTAAGTTTTGTTCTTTTAAGCTGTTTAGTTTTGAGGTAATTTGTTATGCAGCAATAGATAACAGAATTTTCTCAGGTTTCTGCCTCAAGGGAGAAGATGGATCAGGAAGCTATTAAACAAGAGAAGAAACTAAGGGTACCAAGCAGGTCACAGGAAGGGACAAGGGAGAAGGAGAGTTCCTACCTGTTTCATTTGCATAGAAAGGGCTTTACACACCATATGGCAAAGGACACTTGTATGGACACAGAGACCTCAATTTCCTAACCCCAAACAGTATAGTGTCCAACAATGGGACTGAGTGTCTGAAATTAGACCTATCTCAAAAATTTAGAAATGATGATGTTATGAAGTAGTAAGTTACTGAGGCTGCAGGCAGATCTGAGTCTGGGTATCGTACACAAATAGGGAGGTGGGGAGGGAATCCTTCCATTGACTGGATTTAAAAAAGCATGTTATCACCATCATTTCCTCCCCAGTTCTCTATTATTTCCCCCTCTAAACAGCCTAGTTCTAGATATTTTGTTCTAGAGTTTTGTCCTGATCCCCTGTCATCCTCTTGAAGGCTCTTTTTGCATTGGCGCCTGAAGTCTCCCACCAAGGGGATTAGATGCCTGGCCAGATCCCAGGAAGCTCTCACCTCCAATCCTCCCACTGTCCCCACAAGTCTCTTTCTCTCCCCTCTTTATATGGCTGGGGCATCCTTTCTGCCAAAGTCTATATGTTTTCTTTCTAGCTTTCCACTTGGTCTCTAGAGCTATAACTCTGAAAGTATAGATCAATTCATCTGTCTAAAAGCCACACCCATAAATATACCCTTGTCTGATATGACTGAATCACTTTCTTATTGGAATGTTTTCAGAAATAGGAAAACAATCCTAGGCAAAATTTCTTGAAAATGTAGATTCCCTTCATGTTCCCAGTCTACTCCCTTCATGGCCTTTTCTTCTTTCTCAGCTGCAGCTTCACTCCTCCCTCCTCAACACACGCAAACCGAGTGCCAGTGACTTCATAACCGATGGTTTTTTCAGCTTTCACAATCTGATATTCTTATGCATGTCACACGTCATGGTGCAAATGTCTAAAACAATCTAAAGTTAAGTAACTACATTTTAACAGGGATGAAAGCTTTAACCCCTGGATTAAGGTCTAGTGGTGGCATTTTGGGCATCCGACAGAAAGTGGAGAACTGGTCGACACAAGGTCTTCGCGGAGTTAAACCCTCCTGAAAATCATACTCTCTACGTGGTGACTCCTATCACACACACATTCCCCACCCCTCCCTCCCCCCGCCCCTGTGTCCCAAGAGGGGAGGAAAATCTATGTGCATTTATAAACATGCTCTGCAGTTATCTGGGTATGTAATCACCGAAAGAAATGCAGCTGTGTTTATTCAACATGCACAGCCTTACACCTCGGCCATGTTGCTAAAATGCTTATGGGATAGATGTTTAGGCGCCAGCCTGCAACTCTGATGTTTATAACTTCATTATTTCCCAACTGAACAATTTCTTCCAACATGAAAAGGAAAACTCTCTTTCACCAGGGCTCGTTCTACATGCCCTGGGATACCCACCCGCATGGAAGACCCCCCTGGAGAGCCCAGACTAACTGCACAGGAGTTGTGGAATGGGAGGAGGCCACTGAAAATCAGAAAGAAAACAGGGTAACATGGGGGTCACAGGCAGGCCCGTGGCTTGTTGCGTTGAAAGAACTTCTAAATTGAGGAAGAACCTGTCAGAGTCACAATTACTTCAGCTTCTTGTGTGTATGCGGAATAGTCAAATGAGGATAAGATACAC